CAAAGAGACGCAGGAAGAAGATACATCGGCTTCAAAAGCAGCCGGCGCAGAAGCCGAAGTCGTGCCTGAGGCAAACGAGACGGAGCACCAGAATAGCAACGAACAAGCAGTTGAGGGCGAGGCGGCAGCCACATCATCCGAACCGAAAGCTGCCGATGCTGAAGTCTCGAAAGAGCAGTCAAAGAGTGCATCGCAGAAGCGTACCCGTCAACTGCAGCCTCCAGTAATCCCACCTCAGAACCTGACCCTTGTAGTTAGGGTGTTTGTGGCCAGAGAGTGTAGCTCGAAGACATTCCAAAACACAATCTCCACTATCAAGAATCTATCAGCTATTCCAGGAGCAAAGACAATCTTTGGACAGGAGTTGGTTAGCCAAGCCCGCCTATTGAGCAGCAATATTGTTGCTGATCTAGATGACTTGCTACCACACATTGAGGCGGCTACTTCTGGAACTGAAATTCAAGGAGTTGCGCTCGCCAAATTTTCACCAGGGGCTTCAGAGCAGAATAAGTTGCTCAGAGTTCTTACCGCCCTTGATCATCTATTTGATGGAAAGAAGAAGAATGACGAGGCGGATGAAGCTGGTGCTGACGAGAAGCAAGACCTCGTTACATCTCTCTATCACAATTCAACGTTTGCAACTATGTGGGAGAAGCTGAGTGCATGTTTGAGCGCCATTCGCCAGCGAGAGAACATGCTTAACGTCGCAACAATACTACTCCCGCTGATCGAATCTTTGATGGTAGTCTGCAAAAACACGACGACAAACGATGATCTATCTCTCAGCCAAGTCGGCAAGGACATGGTGCTATCAAGTCCGCAGCCAGAATCTCGCACGGCAAGCCTCTTTTTCACATTTACCGAAGACCACAGACGCATCCTCAACGAGCTTGTGCGACATAATCCAAAACTCATGTCTGGCACGTTTGCTTTGCTTGTGAAGAACCCCAAGGTGTTGGAGTTTGATAACAAGCGCAATTACTTCAACAGGAGCGTTCACTCGCGAAGTGGTCAGAACCAGGTCCGTCCGTCGTACCCGCCACTACAGCTTTCTGTTCGCCGAGAGCACGTTTTCCACGACTCTTTCAAATGGCTCTGCTTCAAATCAGGGGAAGAGATGAAATATGGAAAGCTCAACATTCGATTTAATGGAGAGGAGGGAGTAGATGCTGGTGGTGTCACACGCGAGTGGTTTCAGGTCCTCGCTCGGCAAATGTTCGATCCCAACTATGCTTTATTTATCCCGGTTTCTTCGGATCGCACAACCTTCCACCCGAATAAGCTGAGTGGTATCAATGATGAGCATCTCAGATTCTTCAAATTCATTGGCCGCATCATTGGCAAGGCATTGTACGAAGGTCGCCTCCTCGACTGTTTCTTCAGTCGTGCTGTTTACAAGCGTATCCTCGGAAAGTCCGTCTCTGTCAAGGATATGGAATCGTTTGACCCAGATTACTACAAATCTCTGTGCTGGATGCTGGAAAACGATATCACGGATATCATAACCGAGACGTTCTCAGTGGAAGATGACGAATTCGGCGTCACCAAGATCGTGGACCTCATCCCCAATGGTAGAGAAGTTGCGGTAACTGAGGAAAACAAACACGAGTACGTTCGCGTCGTGGTTGAGCATAAACTCCTATCTTCTGTCAAGGAGCAAATGGAGAACTTCTTGATGGGTAAGTTGTCATTCATCAAAGATGGCCGAAATATTAGCAAAGATAAACGTAATCTAATTATATTCTTCTCTAGGTTTCCACGACATTATTCCTGCAGAGTTGATCTCCATCTTCAACGAGCAGGAGTTGGAATTACTGATCTCTGGTCTCCCGGACATTGATATTGACGATTGGAAAGCTAATACGGAGTATCACAACTACAATCCTTCTTCTCCACAGATCCAATGGTTCTGGAGAGCAGTTAGGTCTTTTGACAAGGAAGAATTGGCCAAGTTGCTGCAATTTGTCACTGGTACTAGCAAGGTGCCTCTTAATGGGTTTAAAGAGCTCGAAGGCATGAACGGCGTCAACCGTTTCAACATCCATCGCGATTATGGAAACAAGGACCGCCTACCTTCCACGCACACCTGCTTTAACCGTACGTTTTTATTTCTGCCTACTCCATTTATATCACGCAAAAAAAAATCATGTACTGACATTTCTGACAGAACTTGACCTCCCCGAATATGATAGCTACGATGTACTTCGATCCCAAATCATCAAAGCCATCACTCAAGGCAGCGATTATTTCGGCTTCGCTTAATGTCATACAAGGGAGGATGGTGTATTTCCAACAGAATGACGCATGCTTTTAGTACGAAGATATGAGCCCTTTCTCACGTTTTTTTCCCTAGCACCATTTTATGACTGTTGTACATAGCATTTTGGGGATTCAGGATGGGGACTTGAAAAAAAGAAAGTAAAAAAGAAAAAAAAAAAAAAGGCATAAAAAGGAGGGGAGAATGGCTTCCCGGGTTTAGATCTCGTCTTGTTAAAGAGAAGTGCAGGTCTCTCTAGCATTGGCAGGATTTTTCGGACATGGGATGACATGGAGGACGGTGGAGGATCTTGTTTGATAGGAATGATTAAAAGACGTATTGCTTTCAAGTAGATTAGGATTGCCTGGGCTTAGAATTGGGCAAATACAATGGGTTTTTATGTATATCGTCACTATTCTTGGGTGATTAAACAGTGAAATTCTGCAATACTTTTGCACAAGTATATTAGCAGGGGAATTGTACAGTTAAGGAAAAGTTAGGCATATCAGTATGAAAACTCGACATCTCTTCCTCTACACTCTTCCTCTAAAGCAGCAAGATATTCCCACGATTCATTTGCGTCTACACAGGAGCAGAAGTTTTAGACACGATCAATTCACAGATGAAGATATGAAATAAATGTACGCAAAAAAAGGTATCACAGATTTTGTGTCATGAATGCATTGAAATACTCGAAATGCTTCTAATACATTCGTGGCAGGGGTGGGCTTTAAAATTTTAAGCCCGAGAGATCCTCACTCCCTATGCATGCAAACCACGGGACCGAAAGGGTATGATTGAATTTCCCCTTTATTTTTTTTCCTCATTCATTATAAAAGAAATAAAACGCCGAATCCTTATTTGTGCATGGAAGAAGCACGACGCTTGCGGGCATCGGCCTTGTGGGCCTTGGCCTCAGCGACACGCTTGGCAAGGATCTGGGCGTACTCGTTCTATTTTGGAATATTTGTTAGAATCAAGTTCAAGATTAGATTTCAATGGTTAACAGGGTGTAACTCACGGCCTCATCCTTGACCTTCTCGGCCTGGCGGCGCTTGAGAGCAAGACGGTGACGCTTGTGCTGGAGACGCTGGGGGGTAACCAGTCTCTGGATCTTGGGAGCCTTGGTGTAAGGCTTCTTGCCCTCGCCCTTGGGCTGGACCTCTCGTCGGATAACGTACTTGCGGACCTATTTGTTTCGCGGATGGTGATTAGTTCCATTGCTTTCATATACTTGGTTTTTTAATCTCGGCACCGGGTCAAACTCTTTTCTCTATGCTTCGAGGATATTTTCGATAGCACGAGAGAAAAGAAGCTTGCCCAGTATTTTCTTCTCACACTCTACCCGGACTGCCAATCCCTCCACCGCAGCTCCTGGTAGGCGATGACCGAGTATGGGTGCAGGGTGAAACATACATCGTCATCCTTGGTGAGGTTGAAGAACTTGCGGATCTTGGTGGCACGCTTGGGGCCGAGGCGCTTGGGCTGGACGACGTCGGTCAGGCCGGGGATGTCGGCCTCACCCTGCTTGACGATGCTGAGGGCGAGGACGGACAGGTCCATGCCGACGATGCAGCCACGGACGGACTTTCGCTTGCGCTCGCCGGTTCGTCGGGGGCGGTAGCAGGAGTGGCCGTCGGAGAGGAGGAGGCGGACACGGCTGGGGTGGAGGACACCCTGCTTCATGGGGAAACCCTGCTTGTCGTTTCCTCCGGTGATGCGGAAGATGTAGCCCTTGAACTCGTCACCGACGGAGTCACCGGGGACCTCAGCGCCCATCTATAATACCAAATGTGTTAATTTTTCATCATCCCTTCTTTTTTTTTTTTCCTTTTCATATCGAACTGAAGACCAGATGGTACAAAAAAAAGTTTTCGATATCGAGTAACGCATTTCTTTCGTCGTTTTGATAATCGAAAAAGAAAACCCCGTTTCACATCTTTGCTTCTGCCGTTCGTAGGGAGGTAAAACGTACTCGCTTCTCCATGAAGATGGCGAGCTTGCGCTCATCTTCAATCTCGATGAGCTTCTGGCTGCCATTGGCAGGGTAGGAAATGTTCAACTATAAACGAGCGTCATGTTAGCCAACCGGCGGTGATCTCGAGCATAAAATTGACAATGGAATAAAGCTGTTGCTTTTGCATCATTCACATTGAGAGGATGCTCGCAGCAGAGAGCTGAGAAAGGATATGGTATCGTACCTTCATCTTGCCAGTGTTGTGGTGGTGCAAGTTTTGCTTGACCTGGCTCGCGTGAAGTCGGCTTTTGGTGTTGAAGGAATGGGGAAAGGGCAAAGGCGAAATTGGGGCGCGCAAAAAAAAAGAGAAAAAAGTTGTGTGCGCATTACCTAGGGCTCCATTTTGGCGTGTGGGAGGTTAAGCTGGCCAATCATATTTCGGAGTGGGTTCGCTGTGGTTTGATGGGTACGTACCTTGAGCTAGGCGATCTCAAGATCCAGCCGGCGAAAGGTTATCCCGTCCGCCTTGTGAAAGCGTAGAGCTAGCGTCAGTCTCTTAGAGCTTCCTGTGGCGCTGACCCCACCAACGATGTTCTGAGGGTGGGGCAGGATTCTACTTACTCGCTGATCTCATGAAGCTTCACTTATTCTTTGATGTATACACTATAAACTACCTCCAATTCGTTACAGTCTTTCAGTATTTACTTTGTCATAAGATTTATTCCTTACTCAGTACTGCTTTGATTAATCTTCTGCCTCGAACCCTCATCCATCGCCTCTCCAATCATGTCATCATCTACCGCAAAGCTATATCCTCCGTCCAAGGAAGCCTCCTCCACAGCTCCCACCAATCCCCTCCCTACCCTCCTCCAAACCCCGTCAGGCCTAGCCATACTCGAGCTCCAAGGAACCCTGAACCTCCCTCAAGATGCCAATGGAGAGGCTCTAAAGGATGTAGAGGCGGGTAGACTAGAATTTCCGGATTATTCACCAGACGCCATCGGCACTGCCTGGATGAAGCGAGTCCACTTGTATATTGGGCAACATCAGCGTCTGCATGGCGAGGTGAAGAAACTTCCCAAGGCGATTGCCGTGGTGAGGAAACGCCAAAATAAAATGCTACAGAGCTCCGCTGGGCCTTATATGGAACAAGGGGATAACCTGGAGGTGGTGGAGATTGTCAAGTACAAGCTCATGTTTACGACTCGGCCAGAGCCTGTTGGAACGGCTCATGCGCCAGCTTCATGATGGGATGAAAGGCGAAAGACGAAAGGCGAAAGGCACGAATCCTTTGTGCTTCAAGAAGAATATTGGGATCTTAATTCTTAATTCCTCATTCAACAGCATGCTCTATACATTTCTCTGTTTCATATAAGACAGATCCTGTATATTGATACCGATATCTCGCCGAGCACAATTTCTAACAGTCCAATACGCCCTACGCTTATATACGTTATCAAAAGTTTCACGCGCAAATCTCAAGATCCAATTACAAATGATCTCCTTATACTCCTACCCCACTCGCATTTCATACAATCATCACCACCAATACTAGACGACGCCGGCTTTCATACTTGCTCAATGGCACCATAAAGAGGTCTTCTGTGGACAAGAAATTCACTCGGCATCAAGCTCAGCCGTTTCTATCACTAAGAGCTATAACATAAAATATTCGTCCATTTTATACAGAGCGCCAACATCTGGCCATCTATCATCATTGACTCATCTATATAGAGTAATACAGTGTATATGTCACTCTTTACTTGTTGAATGAAACCTTGTCCAATATACAATGCCGCACTGTCGTTGAAATCATGAGATGCTCAAGCATCACGCCGCAACACCCTCCAACGGCTTTGTCCTTCCCAGCCCATCTCTTCCATAATAATCCATGGGGTATATGCCATCACCACCCTCCTCCTTACCCCAACCACTTCTCTTGCCCAGCACTACAAGCGCCTCATAAGGAGTGAGGAGCGGTCTCGGGAAAGCGTATCCCCAGTCAATACTTAGACGCGGGCACGCTACCTGGACCCAGCACTCGACGTCGCTCATCATGGCCAGCTTTCCAGGGAAGATTTCGCTCAGGAGGAGGTCGACCTTGGGGATACCACGCTCAGCCAGCTCGCGCTCAATCAGGGCCAATGTATGCGGGTTTCCCTGGCGACCAAGAGATCCCAGGATGAGGCCCCAGCGACGGGCCTTGCGGGCAGTCTGGATAGCAGAGCGACGCACCGACTGCATCTCGTCGTGGCCGTAGGTCTCTCGCGTCAACTTGCGAGAATATGGGTCGTATCGATAGGCGGGGATGGAAGGGTTGTGAATCATGATACTCTCGAGGTGGAAGCGCCCGTCACCGAGGTAGAGAATGAGATCGATGCCATCCTCATCCTGCAGGCGCGGCGACGTGCAGCCCAGGATCTCGCCTTTGCTGAGCGGTCCGATCTGTGGTACGACGACGCTGAAGCCGGCAGCCTCAAGACTGCTCCGCACACCGTGGATGGTGGCATTGAACTGGATGGTGCCCACAATGGCAATGGTCTTACCGCTGGCAAAGTTTCGCTCCAGCGAGTTGACTAGATGCGACGTATCGATGCTGATATCGACAAAGACGTACAGCGTCTTGATCTTGGTAACGTCCACAGGGATCAAGCAGCTGTGCGCATAATGCACCAGCAAATCGCAACCCAGTGCCCGTGCAGTATAGTCGTCGATGCAGCAGGCGCCGTACGTCACATCGCCCATGATGAGCGTCTCCACGCCGGGGCAGAACTGCGTTATGATGTCGGAGATGGTCGTCGCAAACAGGAGCAGGCCTTCGGGCATCTGTAGTGCGACCCGTTTGGCACCAGACTCGCGCACTCGATGTATCGTCTTGGGGATCTCAAAGTTGTAGTTGGCTGGCAGCAGGGCTATGGCTTCCTTGATGCTGGGGTCTTCGGATATTTCTTTGGGCACTCTGTTGAGGAGTCGCGGGGCTCGTCGAGGTTTGGCGGCTACATTGCACGACTATGTTAGAGAGGTGACGAGGCAATAGCTGAAGAGCTATTGGTGTGTAGTTTTAGCATACCTTGAACGGCGCCGCTGCCACCCTCCTCTGTCGTTCCCTTTGCTGCCGCTGCTTCATCTGCCGCTCTTCTTCCTACAAACCGCCTCTTGGGCTGTCTCGTTGTAGGAGCCGCATTCTCTGTAGTCTCCTTCTCTGGCTTATGCACCTCTAGTTGAGATTCTTCGATATCTGCCGCTGTGCCGAGGCCGACGAGCGCCCTGTCGTCTTCCATCTGTAAACGGTGGATGGGCGATTCTGTGTTGCCAACTTTTTTTTGTGGCCCCTCGCTGCCCCCTCGTCGCTTGCAATCGCGCTGTGTTGTCGTATGCGGCGCGATGTGTGCTATAATGTGATTAAACGTTTCGATACCGGATAAATAAAATTCGATATAGAAGCAGTTTTTTTCCTCGTTCAAGATCGCTGTATCAAGATTCGTGGCTTGTAAGTGACAAAAGCTTTTTGCGCCGTAGCTTGAAGACGAAAGAAGGTGGTGGGGTGATGTCGATAAGCGTCCCCGCAGTGGACTCTCTTGTCAGCATCTTGACAATACAAGGTCGCTGATTGAGCGCATGTAAGTGCACATACATGCTTGTACATATATGTATATACTCTGCACCATGTATCAGGCTTCTCTAATCCTCATCATTGATTGATCATAAACTCATGATTTTATTAATATAATAATTAAGGTCTTATCTGCTCAACAACAACAACACCGCATCATGCTCTACTCCCACCTCTTTCTCTTGTCAAGCGTTCCTTGCCCTTAACAACTCCTCTACTTGTCAATGCTAAACCTGTAACTCGCCTGGACAACATACGGGGCATCTCCAGGTCCAAAGATCTGCTTCCTCCCCCATTCCGGGTTGTTGATGCCGTCAATCCAGTCCTCCACTTCCATGACCAGACATCCGTATTGCGGAATCGTCCTCGGGAACTTCTTGTTGTTGTGCAAGCCCTGCGTCGTCTTCAGCGCCATAGAGCCGTTCTGCCCGTTGCAGCTGTACACCTGGAAGGCATCCTGGTCGGAGTAGACGTCCAGGTGAATGCCCGACCAAGCAGAAGACAGACTTGCGACGGGGCCTTCGGTGCGCCAGTCAAAGTTGCCCAGCGCGCCGCGGTTGGTAAGATAGCAGGTATCTACATGTCTCGGCATTAGTTCTATACAATAAAGAAACCAGAAAATCAGGGAGGATTATTGAACTCTTACCAAAGCCAGTGCAGTTGTTGCCGCAGTTTTCCTTGATCCCGCTCTGCTGGAAGCCCTTGCTCAGCTGCTTCGGCGCCGACCAAAAGTCATTGGCCGTGCCCTTCTTGTTGGCGACAATGTCGCCCGTCGGGATCAAGAAGCCGTCCACGGCGACGCGCTGTCCGCCATAGGGGAGATGCAGCGTGTGGTTCAGCGCCGACTGGGTCTCGTTGTTGGCGAAGCCATCCAGGTTCCAGTACGTGTGGCTGCTGAGCATGATGGGCGTCTTCTTCGTCGTGGCCTGGGCCACCATGACAAAGTCCCACTGGTTCGGCTGCACCGTGTATGTGATGTGCGAGACGACCTCGCCGGGGAAGCCCTCTTTGCCGTCTGGATCGACGATGCTGAAGGTGATGCTGGTGGGAGTGTGCGATGTGACGGTAAAGTTGCGCCAGTCCCAGCCATCGGGCCCTCCGTGAAGCGTGTCCGATCCATTGGGCGCGGCCTTTGTGGGATTCTCATTGGGCACGGTGTGATATGTTGTGCCGTCAATGGTGAAGGTGCTGTTCTTGATGCGATTGGCATAACGGCCAGGCACGCCGCCAAAGTGCGGGTGCTGCTTGTCAATGCCATAGTACGTCGCATTGTCGAAGCCGCCGACGAGGTCGCGCTGGATGCCATAGCGATCGTTGATGAACAGATTCGAGATGGACGCTCCGTAGGGGATGAAGGAAGCCTCAATGCCCTTTGCGCGAATCCAATATTTGCCGTTCTTGTCGGGACCGCTTCCCGTGCTCGCATCGCCGGCCGCAAAGGGCACGGCAGAAGCAGCCGCCAGGAGGGCCAGCGAATTGCTCGTCAACTTCATGATGGCTTTTGAGTTTTTGCTTTCTCCTTTGTTTGAGTCGACACGAGTCAATCAAAGACAAGTCAAGGCGGCGCAATCTATGGGACAAGCACTTCGCCCTGCAGGACAAGCGTCTAAGACAAGCGAGACAGACAGACAAGAAGACGGCCGAGACATTCTGCCAGCTGGGAGGGGGGCCAACCCTCCCGTATTTAATCATGTTCGCCCAACTCTCGCCTCAATGCTACCGTACTTCGCGCGCAGCAGCATCTCGTGCTACCCGGCCTGTCGTCCATCCACATGACGCAGCGATGTAGGTCCCGGCCAACCTCTCCATGTCCCCAACAGGCAGTAGATGGCGATGATCGGAGACGCTTGGGAGGGGTACCCCCGTAGAATTGCATGAATCAAATGGCAATCTCGGCCCGGATCATCTGGGGTTGCTGGTGCAATGAGGAGAGAAGAGTAGCGAAAACCAGCTAAAGAATGCGGAGAGTGAGCGAAGGATCAAGGCCATTTTCCGGGGTTGGGCGAGGCTGGTTGCAATGCATGATGTGATGTCACCTCGCGATAGTAAGGCATTCGGATATAACGACCCCTTTTTCTTTTTGTTGCTATTTATTTCTGGCTTTACATTAGACAATATCTTTCAACAAACAACAGTTGATTGATGGTTCTTCATGTTGATTATCAAACATCGATTGTGCATCTCTATATTACTGTAATTCTCAGCAGATTCAGCAACTCGTAGATATGGCTTGACATTTACCCAAAAGCCGGCCCAAAGCCCCACAAACTCCACGCAATCGTCGTCTTACCGACAATCCACGGCAGCCCCAGTGCGGAGAATCAAGAACAATAAAAAAAAAGACATGCACCCCTGGACAGCATCTCAAACATCACTGGCACGGCTATGTGGACGCGATGGCTTCATCTTCTCCTGTCAATAGTGCTGTTATAAACAAAGTGCCAGGCTTGCCAGGCAAATAGAAGCGCCGCCAAAAGTGCCCCCAGATCCTGCAAGGCTAGCCACCACGGCCAGGCTTTTCCTTTCAACTCTTAGTGCCTAAGCGCTCCAATCGCTACGAGTCCCGGCCGACAAGGCTAGCCAAGACGGGAGGTCGTCTTTCCCAAGTCTCAAGTCATACTGTAATAACAGCAGCTGCTGCTTAGTACGTATAACAACAGAATGCGAAAATCGGCTTGATTGGTTGGGTAATCATTGACAGGGCGATCGACAACCGCTAACTGTTAAAACACGGCTTAGCCCAACGCGGTAGATCGGGAAAGGCTTTAGCCCCGTGTTTATGCTAAACAATACGCATCTCTTGGCGATTTGTTCCACAAAACGTTTTCGGAACGGCAATCCAGCTCCTCAAGATGTTGGTGTGGCCTATTACGCGCTGCGCTGCTCGCCGGAGCATAATTCCAGCATTCAACTGCTATAAATCTTGAGAAAAGAAATAATGCAGTACGTACTTAAATAATTAAAAGCATTAATTAGGGCGTCTACCGTTTGATCGAGTAATATATCAGAGGCCCAGAAGTTGACTACAAGGTCTTTACAACAAGGGCTGCCCAACGAGTGAACCAAAGTCGGGGATCTAGATCTCTCATGCTTTGCTCAATAGCGCAGTAGATGCCCTAGTTAATGCTCTTGGCCATCCAAGTACACACTACATCGTTTCTTTTCTTGAAATTTATATCAGTCAAATTCTGGGATTGTACTCCATCGAGCAGCGTGCGATTGCTATACCAACATCTTGAGGAGCTGCATTACCGTTCCCGCCCGCCTTGAGTTATCCGACTGCAGTCTGCCACATAGACAGCTCAGGAACCTTGAAAATCGCCATCTTCCTGCTCTCCTAGCTTTTTGGATCTATCCTTTTTCCAGATACCATGCGCACGCGCATAGTTTTCTAGCGCTTCAAACCACTCGATCCAATCTTGTTGCGTGGTCAGCTCGGCAGAGCTGCAGAGGAGTCATCGTGTGCTTCCACTTCGAGAACTTTTGCTTCTCAGACGAATAGATCTTAAAAGAGTAATAGGCGCAGGGCGAGTTACTAATGTAACTATGCACTACCGGGGCTCATAACTGTAGCGATAAAAAACGGGCCCTTAATTTCAAACTCTTTCAATCATAAACATGTCAACGACTATCTAGGATGCTCTCACCTTCTTTAATCCAAAAATACCCAAAATATGCTCATATAGCATCACAATATAGCTGACCTACGAAGTAGTAGTAGAGCTCAAAACCCAGTATACAATTCTCCACAAACACAAAAAGGCACAAGATGCACAATAGATTTCTCTTATTGTCTTTCAACTATTGATTTTTGGTAAGATGAGCCAGTCATACTATATATGTATGTACTCAAAATGTTCACTATATACTCGGTGTGTGAAAATGTAAAATAGCTATATACGAAAAAGAACCGAATGTATGTTTTGTTATACAACACTTCCTTTCATCCCTCAGGAAGCAAAGGTAGCAAGAAAAAGCTTTTCAGCTTTTTACTGGCAAGAAGCCCAGTACTGGCTCTCGACAACGCAAGTGTATGGGGACTGGCACTGGGTAGGACCAGTGTAACCCACACCGCCGCACTATTATCAAACAACTGTTAGCAAAAAATGTCTTTTTTTTTTTTTTTTTTTACACAACAATAGAAGGATTTTCTATCTTACCTGTCCCCACTGTGGAACGCTGCCACCGCCGCTTCCAGAGGCAGGAGAAGAAGAAGAAGCCGGAGGAGAAGAAGCGGTAGATGAAGTAGCGGGAGGAGAGCCACCGCCGCTGACGGGAGTGCCAGAGCAAGGCGAGCCGGTCGTGAGAATGCTCTTGACCTGCTGGGCGTAGTTGCAGCCAGCGATGACGTTCTGGTCAGAGTAGCCGGCGTCCCAGAGCATGACACCGCCAAAGTAAGGGCTCGACTTGACGCCGGCAATGACGGTGGCCAGCTGCGAGGGGGTAGCGTAGTAGACGGCGCCGCCAGAGTTTCCGTTGGAGGCCAAAGGTCCGGCAGGGGCACCGACGAAAAGCTTCACGCTGCTGGACTGGGTGCTGGAGACGAAGTTGGTCCAGTCGTTGAAGTTGATGGGGGCGTCGCCGGGCAGGCCAAGAGAGCAGGTGGGGTTGTTGTTGTAGAACTGGATGAAGAGGTAGTCGAAGACGGAGTTCTGGATGATGACGCCCATGTTCTCCTCGGGCAGGGGGCACTGGGGAGCACCGGTGATGTAGTACTTGTTGTTGGGGTCCTTGGCGAAGTTGGAGCGCAGCGTCGCAATCAGGTACTGGTAGTACTGGCTGCCGACGTTGACCTCGAGGTCAAAGTCCCAGCCGTTGACAAAGACATCGCCAAAGGGACGCTGGACCGAGGTGCTGCCAGAGTTTCCGTAGGCGTCCCACAGATATTGACCGATGGTCTCGGCCTGGGACTGGGACGAGAGCGAGTATGAGCCAGCGGCACCGCCGAGAGAAACGACAATCTTGACGCCAGCGCTCTGGCACGTCTTGATCTGAGAGGCCAGGTCGGAGCACGACTGGGGCACGCCGGCGGTGCTGATGAAGCAGTCGTTGCCAAAGTTGCCCGAGGGGAAGTTGCCAGTGGCGCCGTAAATGTCCAAAAACGACAGGACCAGGATATCGATGCCGGCAGTGGACGTGCAGTAGTCAGCGAGGTTGTTGCTCTCGTTGTTAGTGGCACCCCAGTAGACGGCGTTCTGGGCACCGGAAGCCTGACGAGTGGCAATCGTCCTGGTGGGAGCAGCGGCAGCGAGGCCGGCGAGGCCGAGGAGGCCAGCAAGGAGAGTTTGAGAAAGCATCACGAAAATGGCTTATACAAATTGTGGGGGAAAAACAAAAAAGGATTGGATAAAAAGTTGGGGAAAAAACAAACAAGTTTGTGTGTGTATGTATATATACAAATGAATGGTAAGCCTGCTACCAAAATGCTGAGGTAGATGAAGAAAGAAAGAAAAAAAGGAATGTGGTGTACAAGCCTGTGTGCCTGACTCTTGCGTGAGGATGAAGAGAGAGGGAGGGACCGTCGATCCTCGAGGATGGACAAGTCAGTATATATAACCAACAGAAACGCCAAAACCCATCCTGTGGGGGTTTAGCATCGTGAGAAACTAAATAACCAACAAGTAAAAAAAAAAAAAGCCCGCTTGAATACCACCAACCGGGACAACATTCACTCCTTCACGATGGGGCTGCCCTGCCCAGGGGTGGTCAACATGGAGAACACATTCCTCATGCAGTAGCTAAAGGCCAAAAAGTGACGTGAAGCGAACAAAGCAGCCTGATGCATATGGGCAAATCGTGCTATTCGTTTCATCTTTTGCACCCCCCGAGCCAACAAGGGGACGTTACATATGGGCTAGCTAATCGGAGCCTGCCATTCGTAGCCTCATGAGATCTGGCCCGTGTGCCAAGCAGCCTAGACGAGGATCGAGAGCTGCTGAGGTGACTGAGCGAGCCAGCCACAGCTCAGGAACCCGTCAGCTCGGGGCCATGGCGTCAAAGTGCCTGCAGCTACTCGCAGAGCGCCATGCAGGCACAGGCACAGGAGGCCCCTCCCCCAGCGCGTGGGCGTTAGTAGCACACATAGTAGCACATAAAGGCCAGAGCCAGGCGGCAATAGTGCATGTTTCATGCTCTACACTAGTTTCCTAGTCGGGCAGCTTCGACATAAATGATGCTACTATGCCGTGCCCGTGGCGCGCATGTCCGCCACCTAACCGCCCACGGCGCGCAGAGAGCACAGCTTGTTTAGGCAGGTCTGCCCATGCCACCGGCATCCAGCTCCGAGTTGGCGCCTTGGGCCGTCTAATCAGGAACGCCTGTTAAGCCTGACATGGATACGGCTGTAACACTTTGCCCCCCGCCCCCCAGGGATCATCAGCCGCCATGTGCGTGTATTCAGCCACTTTTGAAACATGTTTCTTTCCCCTATTCTCTGTTTAAAAAAAAAAAAAAAAAGAGCTGTTAGTAATCATATTTGCCGCGCGAGGCTTTTCTATACATACATTAATATCCTGTCACAGGACTGGATACAACGTTCCTGCGCTAGCGCCCGTGCGGGACTTATACCACGCTGATAATGACATCTACTACCTAGTAGCAGTAGTACCTTGGGTATTACAAGTTTACAAGTACGTAGTATCTGAAAGCTGAAAGTGGTGCCCTGTAGCAATAGTGCTGAGGCGTATTATCCACAACCTACTACAAACTACCAAAATATCAGTCAGACCGTCAGCAAATTTGCTATAGGGACAGCTATCATGGCTGCTAGCACTACGAGCGAGTGCAATTCAGGAATGTGTTCATCTCCTTCTACACACATTGCCGAAGCCGACGACGCAACATTACAATAAATCATGTCTCTCCTTCTCGGTTAAGCAGGTCTTATATCCATGTGTTCTGCTTACCAGATTCTTAGCATATACCTATACTAATCATCTTCTCAGCTATATATATATATATATATATATATATATATATGCATGTAGATACTCCGTATAGTATACCTATATAATTCCTACGCCATGTCCTCTGCACAGCATCATCTTCAACAAGTCTTACGCAGGCCGCCCATCAGGTCGCCAAGCTTGGGTAGGGCTGAAGTCTGATAGAGCCTACAAGGCGCACCAGGCGAAGCCACATCAAGCCACAGGCGTGTTTCACGCGGCTATTGGACCGAGAGCCGTCGAATCTAATTTCAGGGACCTCCATTACCTAATGCGCTAACGTTCCGCGGCGGAAATGAGTCTCGCAATAGGATTAGTTGACTAATATAGAGCCAAATCATAAAACAACTTGAACGTCTCGCATAAAATCATCATCCTATCATCATGCTCCGTCTTCATATAGAATCCACGATGCTCGTACGAGCCATACAACTAGCCTGGCCTGACCCCCAAGTCTCTAATAACTTTCTACCCTCTCTCTCTCACTCTAGTGAAATAATTTGATTTGACATTTACTCTGCTGCCTATATTCACGCTACAACCCTTCATCCGTAACCATGCCAGATTGCTCGCCCACTTCCAGCGCAGTCGTAAAAACCAAAGAAAGAAAATAAACGGTACCAAACAGCTCCTACAACTCGAAACATACACTTCTACCACAAATATTATCACATACTTCCAAGTCAGCCAACTATTTATAAAAACTCTACCTCTGCTAGCCCTGAGGAAAAATAACAAGACCATCCGTCAAGGGCGCCTCTATGCGTCAATCAGGTTCTCCTCAGCCTGCTGCCTATCGTTGGCAGCAACCTCGGCTCGAGCCTTGCCCTTCGCCTTGGAGTCCTTCTGGGATCGCTGGTAAAACTCGTTGAGAATCTTGGCGGGGATACGGTTGAGCAGGTCCTTGGGGTAGATTCGGAGCAGGCTCCAGGCCAGGTCTAGTGACTCGTAAATCGTTCGGGACTCGTAGGCACCTTGGCTGATGAATTGACGCTCGAATTTGTCCAAGAACTCGAGTGACAGCTTATCCTCAGATGACAGAGCCTCCTCACCGACGACAGCCTTCATTGCGGCGGCATCACGACCGATGGCGTACTTGGCATACAGCTGGTTGGACACATCACCGTGGTCCTTGCGTGTCATGCCCTCACCGATAGCAGACTTCATCAAACGTGACAGCGATGGAAGCACGTTGATGGGCGGGTAGATACCACGGTTGTACAGAGGTCGGTCGACGAAAATCTGTCCCTCTGTGATATATCCTGTCAAATCGGGGATAGGGTGCGTGATATCGTCGTTGGGCATAGTCAGAATGGGAATCTGGGTGATGGAGCCATTTCGTCCCGTCACACGGCCAGCTCGTTCGTAGATGGTCGACAAATCAGTATACATGTAACCGGGGAAACCACGACGACCGGGAACTTCTTCTCGAGCGGCGGAAACCTCACGAAGAGCATCACAGTAGGCCGACAAGTCTGTCAGGATGACCAGGACGTGCTTCTCAAGCTGGTAGGCGTAGTACTCGGCTGTTGTAAGGGCAAGACGAGGAGTAATGATACGCTCGATACTATTGCAATGTCAGCTAGGAAACCCAGTATGTCTTTGGTGACAAATGCAAAGGGAGAAGAAAATCCTTACGTAGGATCGTTGGCCAAGTTGAGGAAAAGTGTGGTACGCTCCAGACTGCCGTTCTCTTCGAAATCACGGGTAAAGAATCGAGCAGTCTCCAAGTTGACACCCATGGCACCGAACACAATGGAGAAGTTCTCCTCGTGGCCGTCGTGAACTCCCTTGTTGGTGATGCCCTTCTGCTTGACCAAGCCAGCCTGTCGGCAAATCTGGGCAGCGATTTCGTTGTGTGGCAGACCAGAGGCTGAGAAAATGGGAATCTTTTGTCCTCGGGCGATCGAGTTCATGGTATCGATGGCTGAAATACCGGTCGCAATCATTTCCTCGGGGTATTCCTAATGCAATTGTTAGTCCATGCGAATTCCATCCCACCAGGCGGGCATAGATAGCGGCAACTTACTCGGGAGAAGGGGTTGATAGGACTGCCGTTGATGTCGAGGTACTCTTCCGGCAGCACCTTGGGGCCCTTGTCGATGGCTCGTCCAGATCCGTCAAAGATACGGCCAAGCATGTCCTCTGAGACACCAAGCTTGAGGTTCTGACCGGTAAACTTGACCCGAGTCTAGATGTACACACAAACCTGATTAGCTATTGCTCATTCAGCAATTGGTCGTTACTTCCACGTACCTTCTTCACATCGATGCCAGGAGTACCCTCGAAGACCTGAACGACAGCTCGATCACCTGTCCGCCACAATTAGAAACCCCCATCCAAGACAAGCATTGGTAGCGCTGTGCTCATATATGTATATTCGTAGACAAAGAGACATCACACACCTCGAGCCTCCAGAACCTGGCCGTTTCTCTCAGTACCGTCGGGCAGCGTAAGCGTAACGATTTCATTATATCGCGGGAATTTGACCTAGGTTGCAATCGACTCGTTAGCATCTTCAGATAGCCAAGCATTGCGTACTGTGCTCGATACTGCTGCGCTACGCAGCAGAAGGGATTGAATCCAAAGGAATCAAAATAGATGAGATAGATGGCATACATTCTCAACAATAACCAGGGGACCGTTGACACCGCTCACGGTGTTATACTGCAGTTGTGGCACAACCGAGTAAGATGACGAAGTGCGTGGGTCCGCCATTGCTGCGAATTCTATCTTGTTGTATTTCGTCTGGTGTCTTGCGACGCTTGTGTATAGCAGCCTCGAGCTTCCCTGGCTAGAATTCTGCTTTCTGTCGTTTCTTTCGTATGCAGTCACTGCACAGCAGCACGAGTCGTCGTCGGGGATATTAGAAGGAGCGTCAACAAGGACAGATCGATTGGACAAGGCCAGGAGGCAACAAAAAAAGAGGTCAAGATGCGGGGCACTCGAGACCGAAACAGAAACACCGAGCACAAACCCGATGCCTCAGCAGCTTTGGAAAATGGACAAGAGGGAGCGCGCGCGGAGGATGAAGCCAAGATGGAGATCAAAGGTTCGGAGTTGGAGAGGAAGAGAAGGCTGGAAGCGAAGCAGCTCGGACGAAGTGGGGACGCAGAGACGCCTTTACTTTACCGGTTTGAGCAGCGCCTTTAGTGAGCGCAATTAGTGCTGTTCGCCGCCGCAAGCCTTCTGCAATGCGCTGCGCAGAAAAAAGTAGACCCCACGCCGAAGGTCTTTTTGTCACCTGGAGTCAAGATTTGGACAGCGAAAAAAAGAAGGTCCTTGGCAGGAGAAGCAGCCGTGACATCACATGACATATGCGCTGCATTCTTATTACTAGGCGATGCCATCTCTTGCTCTGGGCAGATAATACTGCCTTACAATCGTGTAGCTGCAGTAGTTCATAGTCAAAGCTGTAAGTTTTATTCCATCACTAGTAAATAGCTCGCGCAGGCATAGAGGCACCATCTTGGTAGCCATCGAACAATCCGGGTACTACTTTGCCTGAGGGGAACGAGGCAAAGCTGCAAGCTGTAGAAGCTACCCCTCCAACCAGCATCTCACAACAGGGTAAGCTTGGCCCCCATTCAACGAGCATGGCAATGCGTCTGTATCCAGATGAAAGTGAACAACATGCTATGGCTACATCACTTGCATATTTAATTATGCCTACCTATCTATTACCGTGTTTTTTTAGGCCATGTTCCTCATGCCTTTGTAGCCGCAGCCGCAGCAGCAGCCGCCTCAAGACTCTTCCTCGACCTCGCTCCCAAAACCGCCTTTCCAACCGAGCTGTCATTCGCCTTGCCCAGCTCCTGCGTGATCCAAGCGCCAATGTCCGTCACCGCATCCAGATCAACGCCTGTCTCCATGCCCAGCGTCTCCATAAAGTACACCATGTTCTCCGTTGCGACATTGCCCGTCGCGCCGGGGCTGTAGGGGCATCCTCCCAGCCCGCCCACGCTGCTGTCGAATATCCGGATTCCGTGCTCCAGCGATACGGCCGTGTTGACCAGGGCCTGGCCGTACGTGTCGTGGAAGTGCATCGCAATGTCCTCGGTGCGGATGCCCGCCGAGGCCATGCACTTGAGCAGCGCGCTCGTTCGCGGCGCGGTGCCCATGCCGGTGGTGTCGCCGAGAGAAATCTCGTCCGCGCCGGACTCGAGCAGGTCTGTAGCGATCTCGGCCACCTTGTGGGGGTCGACATCGAAGCCTTCAAACGGGCAGCCCAGGACCACGGAGATGTAGGCCCGAACGCGGAGTCCCAGGGCCTTGGAGTCCTGGATGACGGCCTTGAAGCGCTCCAGCGATGTCTTGATGTCACAGTTGAGGTTCTTCTGCGAGAAGGACTCTGTAGCAGCTGCAAAGACGGCCACTTCCACTGCTGGCTTCGTAACATCAGGGTCTAGCTGCGTAGCAAACCTCCCCGGGTTCTGCTTAAGCAGCTTCTCCGCATTCTGCAGACCCTTTGTATTCGGCGCGAGGAATGAGTAGGTAATCGGAACGGGAGCCTCAATCTTCTGCTGTAGGATATGCTCCAAGATCTCGTCCGAGTTTGCCATCTGCATTACTCGAAGTCAGTCTTCTTCTCATCTGCATCGACTAATGACCCCATGGGTCGAGTCAGGGTGTGTTCCCTTACCTGAGGTACCCATTTCGGCGCAACAAAGGAGCCAGCTTCGATGCTCGTCAATCCCGTCTTGGCCAATCGCTCAATCAACTCAATCTTAGTCGCCAGTGAAATGGTCTTCTTCTCGTTCTGCAGTCCGTCTCGTGCGCCGACCTCGACTATCCTGACTCGATTGTCGGATGACGTCTGTGCTCGGCTGGCCGTTGCGAACCCTCTGTGCACGTACAGCGGTGCAGAGCGCCTGCACGCCCGGCAAATGGACGAGCGAAGTAGAGACATGGTAGATTATGATGTTTAGAGAAAAGCGCTTTGGTTGAGAGAGGCAGGAATTCGCCAAGTTCTTGTGGCTAGGGAGAATTGCTTGCAGTTTGTAGTAGCCGTTGGTTTAGCTGGGCAGTGGGCGGCGATTGTCGCGTAGTATCGGCCCGTGGCACTACCTCCGGACGGCTATTGCAAGTCTCACTCGCTAGCTTGGCCCGGGGGAACGCCCTCCGCATTTCTCGGCTTAAAAAAAGCAGCGTCTGTTCAAAGAGGACGCACCAGTGCAAATTCGGACCGCGGACTAAGTAGTATAAACAACATCTTAAGGTGTTCTTGCCAAGCATTGGGAAATTGTACATATATTTCACTGCAGTACTTCGGTAGTATATGGTAGACGGTATCCGTAACGTAAAATCACACAAGGTGCTACCTAGGCATTAAAGTTGTACTGGGTAACATCACGGCACGGCATTGCTTGGGCGCTTACACCAATTTGGTAAATTATTAACCTTCTTGTACACCAACTGTTTGAATAAACTCTTATAGATAACAGCGTCTGTTGGCTTCTTTCCATTTACAGATTTGCTTTTTAACATTAAAAACTGAGGCTCGCGACCTAATAAAGAAAATACACCCCCTGTCCAAGAAGCCACGGGGGCGGGATTAGGTGGTACCGATTTTAACAGTCCATACCCTCAATATCCATGACTCCAACAGCAAAAAGAAAAATCAAACTTAGTACTCAGCATCCATCTCCTCGTTGTCGAGAGAGTCGGCAGCAACCTCCTCGTAATCGCGCTCCAGGGCAGCGAGATCCTCACGGGCCTCGGAGAATTCACCTTCCTCCATACCCTCACCAACGTACCAGTGAACGAAAGCACGCTTGGAGTGCATGAGATCGAACTTGAGGGACAGGGATGACCAGGCCTCGGCGATGGCGGTGGTGTTGGACAGCATGCAGCTATAACAATGTTAGATCGGATACACTTTACACACAGCACAGAGGGAGAAAAATCATTTGACGGGTAAACTTACACAGCACGGTTGACCTTGGCGAGATCGCCGTTGGGAACGTTCTCGGGAGCCTGGTAGCAGATACCCAGCTTGAAACCAGTGGGGCACCAGTCGACGAACTGGATGGTGCGCTTGGTCTTGAGGGTGGCGACGGCGTTGTGGGCGTCATTGGGGACGACATCACCACGGTACAGCAAGCAGGTGGCCATGTACTTGCCGTTGCGGGGGTCACACTTGACCATCTGGTTGTTGGGCTCGAAGCAAGACATGGTCATCTCCTGGACGGAGTTGGCCTCGTGGGCGGCCTTGGCAGCAGAGATGACAGGAGCGTAAGCGACCAGAGGGAAGTGAATACGAGGGTAGGGGACCAGGTTGGTCTGGAACTCGTTGAGATCAACGTTGAGGGAGCCATCGAAACGCAGGGAAGCGGTGATGGAAGAAACAACTGCATCAGCATACGTTAGCACACCTTCACTCCTTTACAAGTCTCTCAGAATCAATAAGATATCAGATCAACTTACCCTGAGCAATCAGGCGGTTGAGGTTCTCGTAGTTGGGGCGCTCGAGGCCGAGGTTGCGGCGGCAGATGTCGTAGATGGCCTCGTTGTCGACCATGAAGGAGCAGTCAGAGTGCTCGAGGGTGGTGTGGGTGGTCAGGATGGAGTTGTAGGGCTCAACGACGGAGGTGGCGGTCTGAGGAGCAGGGTAGACGCAGAACTCGAGCTTGCTCTTCTTGCCGTAGTCGACGGACAGACGCTCCATCAGGAGAGCTCCGAAACCAGAGCCGGTACCACCACCGAAGGAGTGGAAGACGAGGAAGCCCTGAAGACCAACGCAGTTGTCGGCAACACGTCGGATCTTGTCGAGAACGCCCTCAATCAGCTCCTTGCCGACTGTGTAGTGACCACGGGCGTAGTTGTTGGAAGCATCCTCCTTGCCGGTGATCATCATCTCCGGGTGGAAAAGGTTGCGGTAGGTACCGGTTCGGACCTCGTCGACGACATTGGGCTCCAAGTCGCAGTAGATGGCACGGGGAACGTACTTGCCCTGGCCTGTTTGAAGCAGGTTAGAGGTGACATATTCCTGATGGCTGGTGAAAACACGGTATTCGTAAACATACCAGTCTCGGAGAAGAAGGTGCTGAAACCCTGATCGGGGTCCTGAGCCTTGCGCTCCTCGGTGAGGTAACCATCGGGCTACAAAGAAGGAGAAGAGACGTTATTAGTTTCGTGTTTCTTTTTTTTTGGGGGGGGGCGTGTGCGAGATTTGTAAACGGCTCAAAGGCCGCAGAACGGGGGATGGTTATGTACCTGGATACCGTGCTCGAGGCAGTAAAGCTGGAGAGATGGAAAACGTTAGCCTGGATGCTCCAGAAACAACAACAAATGACGGGTGCCAATGGCAGATCAACTCACCTCCCAGCAGGAATTGGCAATCTGGCAACCAGCCTGGCCGACTATCCTCCAAAAGTTAGCATCCTCAACTCGTGGCATTGGGCGCCCACGATGCGGTGAAGCGACGCGTTTGTTTGGTGGGGAGGGGGCCTAAAGGGGCTTCCCCTCGGGTCGAGCTAGCACGCACCGTTGATGCTGATAACCTCACGCATGGTGAATGCTTTTTTCTGTGATATCTGGACGGTTGAGACGAAGTAGTAGGAATAGGGAATGAGTGCAAGATTGAGCCCGGGGAATGAAAAAGAAAAAGGCTTTTATTACGGGGTTCCAGAGGGAAAAGGTGGTGAAAAGGACAGGAGGATGGAGAACCTGCAGCTGGTTCGTAGAAACGAGGTGGGGGGGGAAATTTGGACGGACAGGGGGGGCAGCACCAGGTAGAGCGCCGCCGAGGAGGGGACGTTTGTTGACTTTTTTCTGCTGGACGGGGGGCCCAGGCGTGGCTGGAAGAGGTAAGCGCGTCTGCGAGTTGAGCCCCCTGGTCGCCTCACCGCTCTGGGCGGGCAGCGGATTATTACAGCAGTATCTTGCCGAGATTGGACGCTGGCAGCTGGACTGAAGCTATTCTGCAGACGCCGTCGAAGGGAAGCAGCCTGCGCTGCGCGTTTTGCCAGCAGACACGTAGACGCAAAATGTAAACAGTGTAGTTGGCTGTCGCGAGTGTAAACAGTGCTACTGGGCGGCTAATCCGTCGCCAAGCTAGCACCAGACAGCTTAGGTGCCACAGCTTAGCAGGTGCCTGAAGCCAGACAGCTCTCTGTGCCTGTTGGCAAAAGGCACGGCTCAGCAGTGTGGTGCCCAAAAGGGGGTCTTGGAGGTACTGTGTACATTGATTGGATCCCATGCGTCGGTTGACAGGCAGGTGCTTGTGCAACACAGGTTCGGCCATCAGCATCTCTGGTGACGGAAAGCTACCTATTGCAATACCAAGACTGTTCCAACATCTTTATATAGGCCCTCAAATGCTCATACTAGTATCCATCTGCTCTGCATCTTCACGTCCACCACATCGTGCACGCGCTTCACTAGTCCAGCCAGCCAGCCACCACAACTTGCCATCATCGCCGCCTAACCAAAAGCCGGGTAGCGGGCGATCCAATCCAGGAGCTGGCTTGATCAAGTACCGTGTACATGCGCGGAGTTGGCCCCTCCCTCGCAGCTGTCCCGGGCAGGGCCCGCTGAGCACCGCTATCGCCTCATTACCAAGCAGAGCAGATAGAGAAAAAGAGCGAATGCGACTACGAAGTACTACCTACCACAGGCACACTTCCCAAAGAATAAAGATCACTAAGAAGCAATAATTCCTTTTGTTTTTTTTTTCCTCTAAAGGGGATTCAAACAAAAGCAGTACCAAGTGCAGATACGACACAGATGAGAGAAATGCAGCCATTTATTTCCCATAATCGCACCGCTTGTCTTGTCCAACATCCCATATCTCCATCCAATCCTCTCCTTTTCTTAAACACCACTGCTACTGCTTGGTCCAACCCACTCCCGTCTCAGAACGCTATTGATTAATGCCTGTAGCCATATTCACAGCACACACACAAAGAAGGATGCCAATATGTGCCGACATGTCTGTTTCCTGATAAATAGCACCTCATCTCCCGGCATCTTCCCCGACCACCGGCTTCCCCCTAGCCTCTCTTCCCCCAAAAATCCCCCTTATACGCTCTTCTCCCAGTCCTCTGGATAAGTCGCTGAAGCCCCTCCCTTTAGACAAGGGCCCTCCCGAATCGATGGGTTCGCCCAGACTTGCCAGCACAGCTCTCCACTATAAATGTGGTCAAGCGCGTCTGCTGGCCTGGTCGCAAACCGTGACAGGGAAGCCCCATAATGTCATAACTAGCCTCCTAACGCCCCGGCGATCGCGGCGCTGCGTTATTGCGACTACATGCACGTTGTGCTCGAGACATGCTATTTCATACTCCATATCCGGTCAAACATGCTTATAGGATCACCAGTGTAGGATCTATGAGTAGTATCTGTAAAGGAAAAAGATTTCGAAGTACAGAAACCTTCCGCCCGGTAACATGTGCTACACGTAGGGGAAGGGAATTCCAGAAGCCCATTGGAACGATATTGGAGCCAGGATAAGCAGGTCGGCTAGGCCTCTTATGACCCCATACGTTTTGACAGAAAAAGGAGTAGATGCCATAATACAGTAAGGCATTACCCGTAATTGTGCATCAGCGTATGACTGAGTGCACAAAAGACTCGCCCAGTCCCGTGATGAGCTCATGCTGCTTGGCGAAAGCGATGAATTAATATCCATGGCTGCTTAAGTATTAATTTGGCAATGATGATCATCTCGAGCCAAATTTCCCATGGCACTAGCCCATTCGATCCGCGCCTACGGGACCTGGTGGACAGCTGGATGAGCAGAGTGGCAGAGTCGTGATAAGAAACCATTACCGATTGAATTGAGATTTGCCTTGCTATCAAATCGCCATGGATTTGACATTTTCTTCGCAAATACTACTATTTTCCTCGATGATACGAGTAACGTTTTGTTTTTATGCTTCCCTGAGCTCTCATTGGAATTGGCTTTTTTCTTCTCGAGCTGGATATCCTTGTTTCCCCTATAACATGCTGTGTTGTATAGCTGTAGAAGGCTAGACTCCAATAAACCTCTTGATAAGGTGTGAATTTATTTTGAAAATATAAAAAAAAGACACTTCATATAGACTTTCATACAGGTTCATCTCTTCCCACTACAATCCGCGTCGTTTTATTCATCTTAGGGTACCTTGGCTTGCTTGGGTACATACTACATATACCCTGCACCCCTAGCACAAAGGACAGCCAACCAATAACAAGCGCGCGCTGCCGCCACCATCCAGATGCCGTAACCACCAAACGTTGGGACGGCTTCGCGACCCATTGAATAGCGTCTTCATCTAAACTTGCCTACAAACTGATTGAGCTCTAAATCCATACGACAATCTCAAAAAATCTTCAAATTAAAAGCTTCAGTTAAATCTTTAATCATTCATCTCCTCTCAAAAAACAGCTACACCGCCACCAGCATTTCCTACAACACGCCAAACAATGCCAGCCCCCAAGCCTCATCATCGCCGCCATCCTCACCAACCCTCCTCCATCGTCTTCCTCCTCCTCCCATTCCTCTCTCTCCTCTCACCAGCCCTCGCCAACACTGAAAAAGCAATCTTCACGGCCCCTGAACCCATCACGCTATCCAACATCCCCCCAGCCCTAGACGGCCAGAATATTCCCGTCCTCGGCCCATCCACTCGCTGGTCTATACGCACCAACCTCACTCGCGTCTTTCCCCTCCCCCAGGAAGAAATAGAGGAAGAAGAAGAGCAAGGTTATCCATCGTGGCTGCTCCTCGATAACCTCAAACCCGGCCAGCGCTATGAGCTTCGCGTTTGCTGGTCTGCACTTGTAAGTGTCTTTCATCATTCTCCCTTCGAAAAGTCATCATAAGCCCGTTCTGTTCTGTATATAAATGCCACTATTTTCTCTCCATGCCTTCACCATAAACAACTACCCCTCGAAGATCGTATCAATATACTCACAGACTACCCAAGCAACCAACCGCATTCACCCTAGACACCTACACCCTCTCCACCATCTTCTCAACGCCGTCCCTCCTCCAATCTCTCACGCAACACACTACCTCGACCCAGCAGCAAGGTGATGAAGAAGGCCATCAGCAGAAACGATCAAACCGCCCCTTGACAGCAGAAAATGGCTCTTCGGTCCTTCTACTGCGAGTCCTCGCCGCCGCAGACTACTTCTCCCACCACTCATCGCTCATGAAGGACCCTCCTCCGGTACTGGTCGATCTCATCCTGGATCCGTATCTTTACAATGTCTTGCCTCAGTCATTGGTTCCGAAAGTGTGCTATATTGTCGTCGTTAGCATCGTCTCCTGGTTTGTAGCGCGTTGGGTCTCTAATTCTTTGGTTTCTGTTGCCAGCTCTGGCGATACTGATCAGGCAAAAAAGCATAACTAGAATACGGACTTCCTCACGAAAATAGTAATAACAATAATGATAATAATGATAAAACTGCTTTCCCTGTATAAAAGTACATAGAAACTTTCATCTTGTCTCTCATTAGTCTCCGAATCCTCGGCAACAACTTGTTACTTAGTTCCACTGGCATATAGTCGACAATGCATGCTAGCTTTAAACACATCACAACACAATCTCTCCTATATATCATTTGCCAACGCGAGGGGAAAAAAAATAAATATAGAAAAACAAGCACCAAATATGCCTCCCTATCTACACAGATGCTATCAAGATTCTACTACCCTAGTATGTCCGTACCATGTTACTTTTCAAGTCCATCACTTCTCCTATCATACCACCGCACTCGTACGGGAAATTATAGATCCAACTTTCTGTTGGCCAACAAAGGACGCTAGTCGATCACGGGAAATACTTATTCTCGTTCGAAAACCACAGTCAATGGGTCGGCTCAAAGATGTATGCTTTTTCTCATTGCGAGAACAAACGCAAGGAGCTTCTTAGTAACCACTACCGTATCCTCCGTGGCTCGGATGGCTGCCATGGGGCACAGGAGGAGCACCTGATTGATGAGAAGCACCTGGCTGGTAAGGTTGCTGGCCATACGGCTGCTGACCACTCGGAGTACCATATGACGGGTTGTAACCTCCGCTGCCGGGGGTGGGTGGATACTGCTGCGGAGCTCCACCGGGTGGAGGAGGATATTGCTGGTGTTGACCGGCCGGAGGAGGAGGATACTGCTGTTGCTGTCCGGGAGGCGGAGGGTACTGTTGGTGTTGGTGTTGGTGTTGTTGCTGCCCAGAAGGTGGAGGATATTGCTGCTGCTGCTGTCCCGGAGGAGGGGGGAATTGCGGTGGCTGTTGACCCTGCGGCTGGTATGGCGGATGGCCACCCGGCGTTGTGCCGCCGTAATTGTGTTGATGTTGTCCTCCGGGAGGGGCTCCATAGCCTGGCTGGTGTTGTCCTGGTGGAGCTCCATAGTTGGGTTGATGTCCACCATGCTGTCCACCATGCTGTCCACCAGGCGAGGGAGCACCGTAGCCCTGCTGATGAGAAGGTGAGCCATAAGTGGGCTGCTGCGGTGTATAGCCGCTACCTCCATGCTGTGTTGAGTGCTGGTCGTGCGATCCACCGTAAGGACTGGGAGGCTGATTATGCGAGTAGGATTGGTTACCGCCGTATGACTGCTGTCCATAAGTTTGGCCACCAGGTGGTCCTCCAGGAGGAGGTGGAGGGTACGAGTTGTTATTGCCTGAAGGAGGACTCTGATGGGAGCCCGTGTGCGATGTCGAGGACGTTGCCGCGTGGCTGGATCCATGAGTAGATCCCGGAGGATTATAGGTCGGTGCTGAGCCAGAGTATGTGTTACCACTCGATCCTGAATTCGAGTAGCCAAAGCTCGAGTTTTGCTGCATATCGTAAATCATCTCTGGTCAGCATTTCTATCACTATAGCCCCAAGCCCAGCATGTCGAGAGACGGAATGATTTGCTTACACCATGGCCTGGTTTGCCACCGCCGAATAAACCGCCCACCACACCAGCCAGACCGCTGGATTGGTGCGATTCGCCGCCCGTTGAGCTACCTTGACCTTGGAAGTTTTGCTGCTGTGAAGGTTTGCCAGAAGGCGAGAACAAGTTGGACGCCAGCTGTCCGACTAGTTTTCCGGCAATGGAGTCTTTACCACCACCACTACCGGACTGTCCTCCGCTGCTCCCATGAGAGCCACCACCGAGGAACTGAGCAGCCAGGCCGCCCAGTGGATTGCCACTGCTGCCACCACCGCTGCCCGAACCTTTGCCGCCCGTGAGTACATTCAAAGCCAAAGACTGAAACACAATGGAAAACAGGCGTCAGCATGTATGATTCTCAAATCCTCTAGCTTTACTAGAAAGAGGTCGGCCAAAGACTTCTGCTTACCCCAAGTCCACGCTCGCCAGCTTGGCCATCAGGCATTATGGGCTCCATAGTTCCATCCGCGTGCTTTATCGTCTGCGAGCCGTCCGGATGCGTGATGACCTGAGGCGCCGGTGAGCCGTAAGGATGTTCTGCGCCGGGAACCGGAGTGCCTGTCTGGACAGGATCGGTGGGAACATCCCACTGAGAAACACCAGTGGCCAGTTGGACGTAGTAGTACTTTCTGCTGGAACCATCCCACTGCGCGATCCAACCAGCGGGCAGGCTTGGAGGCGCAAAGGTAGGGCCCTCAGCGCCTGGAGTTGAAGTACCCGCCATATTTCGGTTCGCTGAGCGAGGAAAGTTTTTTTCTTATTTGTCCCGCCTCGATTATGTCGTCAAGGTGTGGGTGGTTCGAGAAGTGGCCGTGCGGTCTGGAGAGCCGTTCGCGGGGGAGGGGAGACGATCGGTGTTGGGCTTGCAAGAAGCAAGGGCCCCCCTTGGAAAAGGGAAAGGAAAAACGAAGCAAAAAGAACAAAATAAAGATGAGAGCAAAGAAGCGAAGAGAAGGAGGAGGAGGAGCGAGAAAAAAAAGAGAGGGGCGGCGAGACTAGAAGAAGAGAGGAGGAGAGGGAGGGAACGAGGATGGATGGTAAGTTTGCGATTGTCACCCAGAGATGCTGCTAAGTCAGCTACAAAGAGTTAGTCCCAGGCCTTTGAAGACGAGCACAAAATCGACAGGTGGGGTCCGATGAGCGCCTATTTGGCCGGACTGGGGCCAACTATAGATTTACCAACAAGGCCGGGGATACAGAAATGGACTTGAATGGAGACGTGCTTTGTTTATTGGAGAGATTAGAGCCCAATGAGTCACGGAAAGCAAGTGTCCATCCCGGTCGGTAGCCTCCGTCTACTGGATGTATTTTGCGTCGTGGTAGCAGCCGTGCTTTATGTGCCCAATATTGCTGCCAGGCAGATACGACAAATAAGCTACCCGTCAGGGACATGGATGCTGATGACGATGGAACTATAAAGAAATTTAGGCTGCCCTTGAGAAGACATGCCAGGGCACGGTGTTACTTTGGAAGAATATCTCAGCACGCAAGCTGTCAAGCTAATGATCAAAGCAGTATGATATTGGGACGGTGGTGGTTTGAGGATGGAGTTGTTTCTTCAGCCTGGTAGCGGGTACCACTGCTGCCCAATGGCCAAACCCTGAGCCTCAGGTACATGTACCTACTCGGGACCTCTTCCGGCACCCATTAGTTTTTAGACGCCAATTTCCACCGTCTTGAAAAGCATGAACTCGCGGACAAGGCACATGTAAGCATAGCCCCCGAAACCTCCACCCACTGAGAATCATCAACGCCGCTCCTTCAGCTTGGCTCGGGTGGCGCAGTGGCCCTGCTGCCCGCGAAATTGGTGTCTTTTTTCCCCTTGCCTCTCATTTTCTGCTGTACTTGCTATCTTCCAGGCTGTTCCATTATTACCCGAGTTCTCTAAGTGATATCTTCCGGGCTGCCTCTATGGCAACTCACGTGATGTTCCAGCCGGCGGCCTCACAGATTCATCAGCAAGTGTGGCTTTGATAGCTGGTTTACGGGATTTGACTCTCTTATACAATCACAGCGTGTGGCTTCACAGAGAAAACAGTATCCTGTTAATATTTTCAAAAATCAAAGTGAGCTTTTATTTGACCTTTAGGTATATGCTCAAATGCCAGTATCTGGTAGGTACATGTATCTTGATTCATCATATTTCCGCCGCCATGTGTTCCGTCCACCGTATTGTTCACGAGCCATTTCCCCTTTGGCCCCATGCAAGAAAAGAAAAGACAAAAATGAATACAAAAAAAAAAAAAAGCAAAGTTGCTTTCCAATGGCTGCCAGCAACCGCTATGAAAAGAACAGAAGGGGGAAAGGCTGAACGCATGAGCGAACCAAAATGCTGTTCAGCCAAAAAAGGTACAAGAAAAAGAGAATGAAGTTTGTGCATTCGTGAGATGACGCTGTTGCTTGGTCCAGTGCAGCTGTTTTCTAGCCCATCCAAGAAGACACCCGCTTTCCGTGGTTTTGTTCATAGACGAAACGGCGTCTTGGGACAAAGCCTGAACCGCTTCGCTTCTTGGCCACTACAAGGGAATCGCCCAGTCCGGGCTTACATGAAGTTCCCGCGGCCACAGGCATAGAGATGGACCACAGTCCGGCAGCGCACCGCTGGTATGACTTTCCGCCAGATAGGCAGTTCCACTGACCCTCTGTAGAACACTTTGATCCTGCAGTCGTCGAAGAGCTCGCAGGGAGTGTCCCGTTGGAAGGGCTGGAAGGGCTGGAAGGGCTGGAATTGCCGCTGCCAGTGGTAGGCTGAGGCACAGCGGCCGCTGAAGAGGCTGACACCGAAGTTGCGGCCGAAGGTTTGCTGGAACTGGTGCCGTCGGCGGGAGCTGTTGGCTCTGCCGTGGGTGCGGTGACGAAAACACCACTCGGGCCCTGAGAAGCAGAAGTTGGAGCCGGAGCCGGAGCCGGGGCCGATGTTACGGCAGGCGGAGGAGCTACTCTATTATTGGTCACTTTGTTAGCATGCAACTATCAATTGCGAAGGATGGGGAGAATAATGGAAACTTCACATACGGGCTACCCGACGAACCGCCAGCAGGAGGTGCTGCAGCATTCAGGCTCGGGCGACGATCAACCTCATTGCCAGGCTGGGGAAAGTCGACATCCTTGCTGTCAGGCGTGATGACACCGTTGCCTTTGGGGCCGATGTTGGCAAGAAAGATATCGGGACGACTAGCAAAAGGAACAGAAGCTGCGCGTTTCTTGCCAGCGCCGATAGTGACAGCCGCGCAATTCATGTACATCTCACGGTTGCCCAAATTGTTGAACCAGGTCCAGGCGAACAAGGCTTCGCCGGCGGGGGCGTCGGCAGGCACCGTGAAGTCCCATGACGAGTCTCCCGGCGGAGGACACCCGCCAATGTACGAATGGATGACTTTGAAAGTTTGGCCTTTGTCATAGGAGAGCGATGCTTGGCAGCTGCCGCCATCATGGTAGGTTTGGCCGGTGATGGTGAAGTTGTAGCTTCCGCCAGGAGCCCAAGTGACAACCGATTTGCCCGCGGGAGTGCCGAGATCTGTATGATAGCCCTTGCAAGGGTAATTTCCTCCCTGCGAGTCAAGGGGAGATTTCATGTTGGAGGCTTCATCGCTAAAATGGTCAGGATAGTTGGCGTTGAACTTTGAGCGGAAAGGAGGCGGGTAGCTCATCTCCATGTGGCCATTGGCAACTGCAGCCAGTCCGAGGACAACGGCGGCAACCGTGTTGAAGAATCTCATGACGATTGATCTGTTGAGCAGAAGCAAAATGTGGTGTTTGGTGAATAGCAAAAGATGTTTGTGATTCTCAGGCTTGTCGTTGACAAACGAGAAAAGAATAAGTGAAGGGAGTTGAAATTTGTGTGGGCACCTGATTTTGTGCGTTGAATGAGTGAATGAGGGATTGTGGCAGCGGGCAGCGGGCAACTGTCGACGGCCTGTTCTGTTTGCAAAAATAATGATGCCTTCTTGGCGTAGAGAGGTATGTGTATATGCGAGAATGTAGGTATGCAGATTCAAGTCCAGCCCGAATCAAGATAATAATCGAACTCGAGCGATGAAGATGAAGAGAAAGAAGAAAAGGAAGAGGAGAAAGGAGAAGACGAAGACGTCGATGGATAAATAGTGAAGAGAGAAACAAGTGAATGGAGTATTTGGTCGCAAGTCACAATAGAACAATAGTCGAGAAGTGGGATTCGCCTTTCATTCAATAGTGAGAGAGAGCTGAACTTGAACAGTGAAGTAAGAGGAAATAGGACAGGAGCCAGAGAAGAAGAAGAAAAAAAGAAGGAGAAGAAGAAAATAGAGATTGAACAAACACAACGCTGTCGGTCTTTATAAAGGAAATTCTATGAGACAATCTACATGTACAAACAGCCACCGAGGAGACAACCCGCCTCTCTTTATACACCGTGGTGCACTACCCACCCAATGTGCAATTGGCGTGCGTGCTTGTTAGCTGGCCGTTCGTTTCACGGCCAGACTGGAAGCAAAAAAGAATCGAGCCCCGTCGATCTCTGTTCAAACCAGCTAGCAAGCAGTGAATCAACACTCGCCATTCGTTTTGCCAAAATCTGGCTGATCTGCAGTCATCACCTTTTTACGTTTATGCGTATCTGCCCATGTGCCATGTCACCAGGCATCGGCTCAAAAACCGATTGGCTCGTCTGTCATCCCGTCTCTTCACAAGCGCCTCAGCATATCGAATAGCTTGGGCCGGAAAAAGCGAGGACAACACGCAGGAAGGGAAACAAGACGAAAATCGCCAAAGAGCGAATCCGCAGTTGGCTATGCTTGACGGAATTGGTCCATTCTACTGCCACCTCCTGCATGTACCCTGGTGCACATAGCCGCGCAAAGAGGCGGCTAACAGCCAACCACACCCTGCTTCGGCCCCTGTCACGAAACACGTTTCAGAGAGAACTCTATGCATAGAGCCAAGTAGCCGCCGTGGTACTATTACAATGTTTAGGCAGGTAGGGGGGAAAAAATAAATATAAAGCAAAAAGTAAAAAGGAAAAAAAAATTATAGAAAATACAATTGTCTTTAGTAGGCTGTTATAAGTGAATTTCTATGCACAAGCCGTTATTACTCCGTCAAATGGGTGTGAAGAAAAATAGGGAATTCGCAAACAATCGGCACACAGTTCTCAACTTCGCGCACAGCAATGATATCAATATCCAATATTTCACTAGTCCAACAGTGCTCATATTCTCAATCTGTATGTGTACTTTCATTTTGCGGTCCTTATTTTTTTTTTTTTTTCACACCGCTTTGTCCGTGGCTGATCCTCCAACTAGAGATTATGTTGCCGTGCCGTGCCGCTCCTTGAGGATCTAGTATGTAGAACGTCATTCCAGGATCCAATAAGCGCGGCATCCCTGTCATTATGGCGTGTCTCAAGACCGCTTTCAGAGCACACATCTCAGCTCTGCGAATCCTTCGCCTCGCATTTAGTACCTGCGAGGTGGAACCAACGACAGACTGGCCGTTTTGCATTATTTATAGAATATAGTCGGGTACAACGCCAATCGTCTTCTCAAACAATCCCCCACATCTCACTGCGTTATTTAGCCCTTATATCAATCATGTCGCCCACGATCAAGCCACCCCAAGGCAAATTCGTAACAGCAGACTGCCAGCATGGCGAGGGCTGACAACAACTCCAAAGCTCACTCATATGAGCCTGTTCAAGTTGTCAAAGTAGACTCCGAGTCACAAAAGTCAACCACCTCCGACTATAAGCGCTATGCAATATACTCTCCCAGCGAGTGGCTTTTGGAGTTCATCAGTTCGACTGCGGCTCTGGGCCTCGTGATTGCAATTGCCATCATCTTTCGGTACATGGACAACAAGCCTCTCTCTGCCTGGAACGGTCTCCTTTCTCTAAACGCAACGATTTCAATCCTGACAACTGCATACGCTATCGTGTTGATGCAAGGAGTCAGCACGTTTATTGGACAGGCCAAATGGCTTTACATCAAGAACAAGCCTCGTAGGCTTGCCGACTTCGAAATATTCGATAGAGCTAGCCGCGATATTTGGGGCTCTCTTCTGCTGCTTACCACTGTAAGGTGGAATCTAGCCACCATTGGCGCGGTGATTGTGATCTTGCGACTTGCTTTCTCGCCATTTGCACAGCAGGTGGTTCTGATTGAGCAGCGAGACATCATCTCCCCTCCCGCGGATACTGCCACCTTTGGATATGCACATGGCTATAGTCGGGAGGCGGTATTTAACAGTCTCTCAAACTCCGGCGTCGGTAAGCATCGCTGTCACAACTGCATACATGTACCTACTACTAGTAGGAAGGCAGGTTAGGTATACAACAAATAGAAGGTACCTAGATAGCTAACAGTTGAGGCCTCTAAATAGGGAGCACCCCTCAGGATGCTGGCATGCAAAACGCCATCTACCAGGGCCTGTATGGCGTCAAAATGACCGAGCCTTTCAACTGCCCCGGGGTGTGTACCTGGCCCGGATCATACACATCACTTGGGTTTCACGCCGAGTGCAGGAATGTCACCCAGCAAACATTGCAAACTGCCCGCTGCGCCTACGACAATGAAAATGTCATGCGGCAGTGCAATATGACGACGCCGGGGGGAGTCATGGTCAAATCCCACCACGTCGACACCGATTCTGGGACGACCTACTACATGAACACATCCTCGCTTCTCTACCAATATTCTCAATCTGGAGGTTCATATACCCCGAAACAGACCTTTCCCGAAATCACGCGATTTGCAATCTATAGATCGACCGTGGACTACAATTTCAACATGCAGAACATCAACGTTACAGAATGCTCTCTCTACATCACGGCCTACGAATATACAGATGCCAAGGCCAATGGTAGTGATTTCTCTTTTGCGAGCAAGCGAGAGATCGATTTCGGCGTCAAGAACCCCTGGCACCTCGCACCCCCAAATTCCTCCATAAACTTCCAGCGCATCGTCACCAACGAGACAACAAGGGGCGGCATCCAAATTCCTGCGCTTGAAATAGACTTTCCAAATCTCCAAACACTAGCAACTTTCCTCTCGTCCCCTTCAATAGTGAGCGAATTTGTCGAAGGGGACTTTGTGAATACAAACCTAGGCATTGCCGCTGCTCTATATGGCGACGTGAATCTCAGCGATCGGTTCGACGGAATGGCGACAGCCATGACAAACTATCTGCGGTACGGCCCCAATACCCAGCTGGCGCTTGGAGAGGTGATTCAGAGCGAGCCTTTTGTTTCCATCCGCTGGGGGTACTTTGCTGTCCCCATTGCGACTGAGGCACTTGCCATTATATTTGCCATTCTAAGCATTGTCAGCAGTCGCCGCAGTCGCGGTGTGCCCTTGTGGAAGTCTTCGACGCTTGCTGTGCTGGCTTGTCAGCATAACGAGCAGCTTGAGCTTTTGCAAACTACGGGCAAGGGTATCAATGAGATCCAAGCCGTGGCTAAAAGATCCAAGGTACAATTACAATAGTACTGGGCCGAAATTGACAGGTAACGGGGTATGAATATGAACTTATTAGATAGAACTCTTAGCCGCCGTGTTATTATAATATTTCTTGCGGTAGTATTTATGGCAAAGAGCAGGAAGAGAAGGAAGAGGAGAGCATTGTATCTCCATCATCTTAGTTAATATATGTAATAGAACCACTCGATTGGCGCGTAAATTCATATGTACCATCTAACATGCTACCTAGACAAGTGGCATCACCGTTCCAAAGCTGGCAACACCTCTTTTCATACAACTTTCTTCAATTTAATCGCTCAGCTCGTCCCTGTATCAGATAACACCTATATCTAACTCTACCTTACTCATTATTTACCGGGTAAAGCTAGCAGTACTCTTGGTATAAAGTGTATGTCCGCCCGCTTGAGCCTCCATTTCCTCTCCATTCACGCTGTCTGCACACTCGATGCATCGCCTACCACCCTATTAAAAAGTGGCGAGCAGATTAATCGAAAAGCTGTCCACATCTCACCGCCCTCATTCAGTTGCCTAAAGGGAGCTTCATCTGCGTTCCGAATCATCATCATCGTGGGAAGTCATTATCTCATCCCGCCGCCCTTGCGGCTGCTTTCTCCCTCTCCTTCTGCGACGCTGCTGCTGCTGTCGTCGTTCTTTGCCACCTTGCCCCCTCATCCCTTCGTGCTATGTTATAGAACACCCTTGCAGCATTACAGCTTCGCCTAGCCTCTCTAAGCCGGTGCAATATTGCTGCATCAGGTGTCTAAGCTCATAGCTTATCTTTTGCCTTCATAAATGCTATACCGTCCATCTTGCCGTTTAAAATGCAATGGTTGTCTCATCAGATGCTCTAAGCAGAGCTCTTCGACTGTCGCCTTTGCCATCAGCTCCTCCACAAATCTCATGCTGGCGTCACCCGAGCTTGTATCATAGCCTTGTGAGCTCGATTTGCTACTGGCAAGCCAACACAAATCAAATTGGAGAATCGTCCCCTAAAGGCCGTATCGTTGCCCTAGCCGGACACAATGGCCGTCATCCCAAATGTAGACTTAAACTGTAAACGCTCATGACAATGCCAATCACAGCTGTTCAATATGCTTCTTTATCTTCTTCCCCTTCCCCTTTTTTTTTCTGTTTGTTCAAGAATTATTTTATGTTGTGTTCCTTTGCAAGATAAGATACCGCAAAGTAATCCAGAGCTGTGATGGAAAGCCAGAAAATACCGTGGTGAGCGAATAACAGCCAAAACCCTCGAATAGAGAGGCAACGCTCAGGATGACTATTCTCTTCCCATTTCTTTTTTTTGCAGATCTAATGGTGCGTCTTCTTTTTTTCTATTTTGCCTCATTGGATCCCTCAGATTCCTGGTTCTGGGGAGAAGTTGAAGCCGTTCGATTGGCCTGCGGGCCGGGATGCGGGTGACTCTGTGGTACATGATGCTTGTTGCTGTTGCTGTAATTCCCGCCGCCGTTACTGGGTGGCTGTGGGCTATAATGATGCGGCACGTTGGCGGCGTAATGCTGAGGTCCAGGTCCGTTGTAAGGTCGTGCATTAGACACTACAAAAGGTCAGCCCCGAATATTCACCTCTAGTCTAGTATAAAGGGGCGTCACTGACTTGGTGCACCGGTTTGTGCCGGCCCATACGCCGGTTGGTTGTATTGGATATTGGGGCTCATTCCGTACATGTTATGCCCCTGCTGAGATCCCTGATGCACCATCATGGGCGCCGCTGGTCGTCCCGGGCTGGGATATCCATTTGCTGCTGCCACCGGCTGTGGTGGGCCAGTGGGCGGCATGAACTGCGGATGGTGTGCGCCGGGGTACATCAGGTGAGGGCCCGCCATCATCCCTTGGGGTCCTGGGATAAATTGTGGCTGCATCATCATCGGTGCGCCCATCTGCCCCTGCTGCGGTGCGTAGTGAGGGTTATTAGAGAAGCTCCTAAATTGGCCCAGCTGAGGGTTGCCGGCACCAAGGAAGACTGGCTGTCCATATGGAACCTGTGCGCCTGGGTTGACTTGCGGGTATGCCACGGGCAGCTGTCCCATGCGAGGCGAAGCAAAGGACTGAGCAGAGTTGGAGTGCATCATCCTGTGGTCATCATTGCCATATGGCTGGTGAGGCACGGGTCCATGTTGCGGAGTGTGCATCTGCATCGGAGGCATATGCGGAGATTGGCGCGGCATAATGTGTTGTGCGCCGTGCTGGAGATGGAACGGAAGCTGATGCTGATGAGGAGGCATCTGAGGCACGACATGAGCCGGGTTTGGAGTAGGCATGCCAGAAAACGGCTGTCGCTCAAAATATTCCTTGTAGGTGAGGCGCATGGTTGAGTCGCTCTTTTCATCATCCTGTAGTTGGCGCCAGGTAGGAATAGTATCGTAGGCTGGGCGCAGGCCACCATTATCCTCCCAGCTACGGGCCTGTGGTCCCTGGGGCGGAGCGATGGTCTTGATGTGAGATAAGATGTAGCACTTGTTGACATCGATAGCCTTGGTCTTTCTTCGGATAAGCTGCCCCTGAGGATGGCCCGCCGCATTAGCGGGATCATTAACATGGTTGATAGCGACCCGGGGGCTGGATGTCGCGCTTGGATGGCCGTTGGGGTTGAACGACGCAGCGAATGGGCTTGGCCTAAATTCGTTGCTATTGGGGTTTAGCTTTGCTCCGAGGTGGCCGCTATGACGCCGAGGGAAGTCCATGTTGTTAGAAGGACCAGTAGGCGGAGCACGGATTTCGGAAGCATGCTGCTGGGGCATGGGAGGCTGAGAGAACTTTTGCTGCTCTACGTTGCGGATACGTTGCGCCAGCGTACCACCGTTTGAGTGCGGTTGCGAAACATGCTGAGGACCGACACGGCCGTTCCTATAGCCTTGCTGGTGATACTGTTGCTGATTGAACTGCTGGCGAGGGCCTGTGTGGCGGCCAGGTCCGCCGTTAGGGGGTGTGGCTTGGGGCACAGGAGCTCCCCGAGGAGGCCTGGTCTCGGCTGCGACAGGTGCCGTAGATGTCGGCGTCTGTTCGGCAGGCTTGGGCTGAGGAGTGTCCTTGGATGGAGTGGCATCCTTTTTAAGAGCAGCATCAGACTTGGCCTTGGCCATCTCCTCGGCGTTCTTCATAGCCTTGGCCTGAATCTCCCTCTGCTTGGCGGGATCCTTGGCGATGATGGACACTAAATCCTTGGGAACCGGTGTTGAGAGTTTGAAAGTGTTTGCGAATTTCTTCAGCTCGATCAACTTGACTTCCTTATCCGCTTTTGCCTTGCTGCTTCTAGCCTTTTCGGCATGTAGGCGTTGCTGCGAAGCAAACGATTTGAATGAGTTCAAGACATCGCGCTCAACAGTCGATGTTGCGCTGGGAACGTTCTGGGGTAGCTGAGTAACGGGTCGAGCATTAGCGGTAGGGACCGCCCTGGCGGAAGCCGCCGACTTCTCTGCCGGTTTCTCCTCTGGGGTTTTAGTGTCTTTGGCCGGAGCAGGGGAAGGTGTTGGAACCGGAGTAGGGGTCTTGCTCTCTACGGGCTTCGCGTTGGATGGCTGGGTTTCCACTGGTTTTTGGACCTCGGGCTTTGCTGAGGCCCCGTTCTTGACAACGTCAGAGATCTTTCGCTGCTCAGAGGCCTGAGAAGATTGCTTCTTCGGGGGGGCCCTAATCTGCGAAGATATAATGGCCGGGTCAAAAGGAGCACCTGCAACTGTAGCTTGGGCAGTTGGAGCGCGTTTGGCCGGGGGCATATATTTCCCGCCTTGTCCAGATGGGAGAGCGGGGAAATCCTGACGACGAACACCGCTGTATCTTTTGATAAGTTAGCATAATAGTTGCCTCGCAAATGGCTAAAAGTAAAACTGGCAAACGCTGCAAGTCGTAACTCACTTGTCCTCCTCATTGTCGTCAGTGCGGCCTTTGCCGCCAGAGTAGTCCATGACACGCTCTTCAGCTACGTGGGCAGTAAGAGCTACGCTGCGCTCGATTTCCCTAGCCTTCTTATCCGCGGCTGCCATTCTCTCCTTGTACTTCGGATGACTGCGGTCGATTACAGTGGTGTACATGTTTTCGTCATAGTCGGATTTGAGGCCAAAGCGCTTCTCGTTTTCGGCGAACTGGTCCCAGGGGCCGGAAGAGGAGGATTTTTCCAGACCGCCATCGACAAACTTCTCGTCAGGATCAGGGACCCATGCCTGCAGAGTTCTCTGAGGTCCGGAGTGGCCGTTCGAAATCGCAGTATCGGTCTTGAACCCAGCTCGATTGCCTAGGACTATTATTTAGCAATCCCGAGGAAGAAAGGTTATGCGGAGGGAGAGTGAGCCAAAGGGGAGACTGATGGCTTACCGTTTGCCTTTCCGTCCACCTTGGTCGCATTGCCCTGTTGAGGGTCTTTTCTTTGGGATGCCGGCGGCATTGCTAAACTTTCTTCGCCGTGGGCGTAGCTTCCCAGAACTTTCTTATCAAACCGCCACAAATTCAAACGCCTGTCGTACGAGGAAAGGTCGATGTGAGCGAGCTCGCGCGTTTGTCGGCCTTCGTGGGCAAGCTGCGTGAGCAACTCGGGCTGCTTCTATTAAAAGCTTAAAATCTGAAATAACCATGTGTTAGTACAAAGTGCGTACGGGTAACTGCAAGACAAATCGTGGCTTTTGGGGCAACAGATTGGAAAGATGGGAAGGCAGGGGTAGCAAATAAAGGCCGTATAGCCAATGGGGTCAATGCAAGAAAGCAAAATGGTCATCCCACCAGCCAAATAAGCCAGGTTTTGCCGATGGGCTCTCGGAACGAAGCGGTGTCCCGGGGAAAGCGTTTGAAGGTAGGATCAGGCCAGACGAACCTCGTGGTGACGATGACGAGAGCTTGTGTCACTCAAGCAAACCACCGAATCGAGAGAGAGTCGGCGGTCTTATAGCTGAGTTACAAGGAAGGAGGAAGGAGGGAAAGAGAGGAGACTTGGGAGGTTGCTAGTGGCCAGCGCTCGCTCCTAAGACTCAACAAAAGAAGCATTAGCGAATCGTCTTT